AGCCCCCACTTTCACTTCTCTGCAGCTGGATAGCAGAGATTATATCAAACAAACAGTGTCTCATCTGTCATCTGTTATTGTAAGATTCCAAGATGGGAGTTATTATTTTACAAATGTACTTGAGAGGGAGGAATATCCTTGGTCAGAATAGTGGGAAAATAAGAAAAAAGTAGTCTCCAAAACCCAGTCATAGCTGGACACACCTAAACTGTCACTTCATTAAGGAAAATAATAACTTAACAACATTCTTATGTATGTATGCAGGCTGTATTTCATATTCCCTGATCCTTACCCCTCTCTTTTACATTGGTTCTTATGAGGATGATTATCGATATCCAATACACTTTTCTGACCTCAGCTCCAGTGTATACTGGGGTACGTCGGTGGTCATAATTCCCTCAGAGTGAAGTTTTCCACTTGAGGCAGGGAGATGCCGCCCATGGATATGCTAATTCACTCAAAAGCTCCACTTTCTTTCTAAAGTATTTAGGAGCTGGCAGAGAGGAGAGCTTCAGTCTGCACCTATGCTCAGAAGGGGAATGAATGGAATGCTTCCATGATGGGGCTGCCAAAAAAACAAAAACAAAAACAAAGCCACACAAGGGAGGCCAGTCTATCAGTTGTGCTAGATTGCAATTGTTTCTTGGCAAGACTTTGCTTTTTTGAGTAAAAGAGAACCTAAACATACCTAAAGAAAAACATGCACTGGCAACTGCAGTTCGATCTCAGGGCCACAATCTTGGCACATAGTGATCTCCTGAAATTTCATGCCTTGCAAATTGGCGATGAAAGCTCCCCCTGAACATTATGAACATCACATCTTATATTAATTGTGGGTGTATGTGAACGGTTAGTTCATTAGTGATGTAGATTTTTTAAATTAAACCTTTGTCATTGTAGTATTTATTTCTGAGCTGAACTGGAAAAGATATCCAAATATTCCATATATTTTTAATGCAGTTTAAAATGTATTAGTAACTAATGTATTTTACTTTCATTTCACCATTTTGTATTAAGGCTGTTAATACAGTTAGCTGTTAGTTATGCGGATGCATTTAAATAATGTAAATATCTACTGTTTCTATAAAACTGTTTTCATCTCCAATAAATGCTTATGATCACAAAACGTCTGACAAAAAAAAGGATTTTTCTTAATAAAGTTCCTGTGCTTGCCACCAACTGTTTAGAAGCAAGCACATGACTAGGTCAGAAGCAAATCTCATTTACAATTTTAAAGTAAGGGCAAGAAATAAAATTTACATGTTCCCAGAAAAAATAAATAAATTAATAAATAAGTCAAAATGAAATCTTCATGGAGCATAAAATTAAATATTAAATCCCTTTCATCTCAGAAGATGTATAAGTGAAGCTGTGCTGCCTGGTTTGTCGTTATTTTTGTGCGAGGTCACAGATATTAATTAGAAAAATGAGACTTAGCTATTGCTTCCTTCTCAATTAAGTGGTTATGTTTCTATGTGGAAATTCATAATCACTGGAAGTGTTCAGCACAGTACAGTGTGTGAAGTAACATGGCTTAGAGAGTTCATCTGTATGCTAACACAAAGCCCTTCAGTGTAGTTATATACCTGCCTTTGTGTCTTTATTCCAGCACATCAAAGTCACAGTACCTTGTTTTTTTGGTCTATGAGGAGTTCTGTCTGGAACACTGGTTTGGGATGAAAATGGTAAAATGTTATTTTAGAGATGGGAGCCTGAAGAAAATCTTAGCCTAAGAAGGTTATTACATTTTTAAATGGTTACATGTTTTTAAAATATTTATATATAACCCATTGGTGTAATGTCTAGTTAAAACAATTACAGACACTGCATAAAACTGTTTTAACTATTGTCCAGAAATTAGAGTACATAATTTATTTGGTGTGATTATTTGCAATATTGGATTTCTGAGTGCCGCTTAAGCTTCATTTTTTTATAGCGCCCTTCATAACATAACGCTTTCACAGTTATTTACACAGATTATACAAACAGTAATCCAATACTATAAATTGAAATGAAATTACTGGAAGTGGTTGCAAAATAGTTTTAGAGTATTGTGGAGTAACCATGTAACAGTAAGGCATAATGAGAATAATCAGAACAGGAAGAGCAACACTCGTCATAAGAATATTAAGAGGTGGCACATTCCACTTCAATTCACAGTGCATAGTGAATGTGTGAGCTACTCTCAGGATAAGATGCAAATGGACATTGGACATATTATGCTAAACTGAACATCAAAATGTTAAAAGATCCACAAACACAAAGGATCTTAAACCACATGTAGGATTTTTGCAGAATTGGCTACAATACCTTGAAAATTCCTTAGAAAACAAAAATCAAACGCTATAGCAAATGGAAGTTCAGAACATACAGTGAGCATACGATTTCGCATCTTTCTGTGAACTAAAGAAATTGTTTTCTTGACCATTCCAAATGGATACAAATTTAAGAAATCAAATTCAACTTCCAGCTCAAAGTAGCAAAAAGCTTGTGACTATTGTCTCCTATGTAAACTTCGGCTTTCATTACACTTGAAGGAGGATGACCTCTCCCTGCTGAAGACGTTTGTGAAATAGCCATTCACTTAACAAAGGCTGAAAGTCATCTGTGCACATGGTTGCTAGAGTACTTTGCAAGAATCCACTTGGAATACGGTTGAATTACGGAATTGACATTCAGCATGACTCCCAGAGCCAGTAGAAATCGCTTTGTGTGAACATACCACTATCAGTCCCTAATGGATCGGTTTGATTTTACATGTTGTCAGTATTATGCATTACCATGCATGTTGAAGGTCTCATTGTTCAGGTATCAAATGTGTCTTCGTTTTGAGAAACAAAAAAATATCTGAAAAACAAATCACACCCATCCATAGGTGCTCCCAATTCCATAATAGGCTGACTCAGACTCTGTTTTCACAAAGAGTCCAAACACCATATAAAGCAAACTGATGTGCATTTCTTTATTTTTCTACTTTGTTGAAGGAAAATATTTCAGTGTGTGTTTAAAAAAGCTGTACAGAATTGTTGTTGTTTTCTGGAAATTATATCTTTAATGTAATGTTATATTTCCAATAACATTTACATCCTACATTTTTTGTACATGTATGAGGTCAAAAATGGGTAGAAGTGTACTTTTGTACTGATGATGTAATATAGAGATTATATAACAACTGCAAAAAGATCTTAACAAGAGTTTCTCAAGCATATCTCATCTATAGCTGGGAGACATGGGGTATGCTGGTCACTGAACACCTAACAGGTGTGTAAATATCCATGTTGACAGCAGTGTCTTCTAGGTTTTCCTGAACGTGAAACAGAGGTGAGATTCTAATGACTTCATTTTTTCTGCTGACTGGTTAAAACTGTTTTGACAGATACTTCACTCAAGGCATTATAGCGTCCAAGTAAAAGTTTATGTATGGTAGCTGTGTTGCTTAATTGCCTCATACGATCTGGATGTCTGAAAATGAAATGACTTGCATTTTACTCACATGGTCTAATAGCTGGTGTTTTAGCATTTCTGGCACTAGGTACTCATCTGTGCTGTGCTATATGAAGCCCCTTAAGGAAGCAGTTGCACTTCTGCCTTTTTGAAGAGTGCCATATTTCATTATTGTGAGTACTCATGTCTTGCCCTTAGGGTAGTTTAGAAGTAATTCGCTAAAATCATTTGCCCTTCATCTAATCTGTAAAGATTAAGTTAAGCCCTGTGATAAAGGGCACTGAATCCGTTTACCTCGGGGTGCAATTTTTTTTTTTGCTTTGTTTGTGCAAGTAAAACACCATCCGCAGCAGTACAAGCAATTTGAACTTAATCACCTGTATTGAATATACATAAAGATCACAAGGGTGATTGTTTTTCAGTAGCCTGACGAGCAGTCAAAACATTTAACGTACAGACTGGTTTCACTTTGACAGGAACTCACCATAGCAGTGTACAATATTTTGACTCAGCTTCTGTTGTTAGTTTCATTTCAGCTGGCAGCTACAGCCATTTCTATGAAGTGATTATACGCAAAGGGTTGTTAATATGCATAAATGAAGACTGTATGACCATAAAGGCAAAAACCATACACTGACAGTAGAATGTGGTTCTAAATTCCCAGGTCAGGGTATAGCATTGCACATCACTGCATATTTACTTTTATTAATGAAATAAGAATTGAACATGCCTTTTGTCGATCTGTAATACTTGGGTAATCTGTTTGAGTCCTAAATGTTATCATTCCATCTTGCACAAAATTACCTTAATAAACCACACAATTAGTTGAGTGGCCCTGGTCTGTGTGCAATAATAGGGGTGCAAATGATTTCAGAATGAATGAATTGGTGATTTTCAGGCAAAGATTCCACCATGAAGACCAAGGAGCTTTCAAAACAATTCCAAGCTAAAATTATATAAAGGCACAGATCGGGAAGAGAAAGTAAAAACATTTCAAAGGCACTTAATATCTCTTTCAGCATGGTGAAGTCGGTCATAAATTTCTTATGTATCTCATTATGTGTATCCTTGTCTTGAAGACCACTTAAATGTCTGTTCCATTGTCTTTAAACAAGTTTGCTTAAGCAATTACTTATTTTACAGATCTCAGAAGTGATTTACCTAAAGCAAATGTGATGTGTCTGTGGCAAGCTGGAACTTGCATAAAGCTGCCTGCAGTGCTTTAGTTTTTCAAGTCATTAAAGATACCAGCAGAGAGAATTACAGCATTGAACCCAGGAGATCATAAACCCATGGATAGGAGAATTTATTTTTTCATGCACGACCAAGGAATAATATTACACTGCTTTGTTACACTGTTGGTAATAGATGGAAATAATTTGTTTTGGAAAGCATTGTATTGGTGCAAAATGATTAAGAAAACGAAACCCATTTAATGATGATTTTATTTCCCAGGAGAAATATCTGTCTCTTAAAAAGTACTTATTATGTTACTGGTTCTTTTTAATTAACATGCAGTTCTAATAATGATTTTGTTTGGATTATTTCTTTTGCAGAACTCAGCTCTGAAAACCTCAGAACTTGTTTCCAGATTATCAATGCATATGTGTACTTGTCATCAACTGACTTCTTACAGGTATTGTTCTTAATCCCTTGCTCTTGCTTAGGAATATCAAATTAAGTAATGCCCTAATAGTGGGTTTCTAATTAAAATTATTCATCTATTTATGCCAAGACAAAAAAAATCCCAGTAGTGCCTCCACATATATTTCTTGATTTCCTTACTTTATCTAAGAGGTATGCATGTACCGTATCAAAGGTCTTGTATTTGAGTTATATTTGTCAGCTGGTATGACTTTTTTACTATTGGTTGATAAGACAATTCTGTGATTCTACAGTGTGCAAAGGTCTACAAATGAACTGAGTTTTAACAATAATGAGTTAGTATTAAGGTTTTTCAGGCAGTGAATCTTGACGAAGGTGTACTCTTCACAGCATCCCAGCCACAAGTTGCTTATGAGAGTAACTTTCCATTTTTCCTTCTAAGTATAGCACCCCTCTTCAAGATTACTTGGTTGATTGATTCCATTCTGAATTGTATCTTCAGGATTTCACAGTGCTGTAACAATATACTCTGTTAGCAGAGTTAGAAACAAGTTTTAATTTACCTGAGAGACATTTACTTGCCATTCCAGAAGAAAAACCCACTTTGATAAAAGTCTAGCGTTTTGATTGCATTATTAATATACAGTGGTGTGAAAAAGTGTTTGCCCCCTTCCTGATTTCTTATTTTTTTGCATGTTTGTCACACTGAAATGTTTCAGATCATCAAACAAATGGAAATATTAGACAAAGATAACACAAGTAAACACAAAATGCAGTTTTTAATGAAGGTTTTTATTATTAAGGGAAAAAAAAAATCCAAACCTACATGGCCCTGTGTGAAAAAGTGATTGCCCCTGTAGTGTGCTCTCTGAAGGCACCAGTTCTGTAGGGTTTGGGCATTTACGGGGACAATTATTAATTGTAGCAGTAAATCACAAAATTGATTCTTTTGATGGCTTTAGAATCCAACCATGCGATATAACTCAAACAACGCACACACAGGTACTAATACACGAGGATACATTTATTAATACATAGAATATGCATGTCAACCTAACAGATCTAATCGAGAGGGTTATCAGAATACAAAAGGTGTATATTCAATCAGTTACGAAGTGTTACATATATCAAGAGGACATACGTTCAGTATATCATTCATTTAGACCGTTTCGTAAATGAACTTGGTTATAACTTCTACATTAGATAGTCAAAACAAGTACATAACTCTTAGGAATTAAATTGATATCAACTGGTTGGGATAACAATTGAATTCTCGAGCAGTAATGCAGTGAAGTTGAATACTCATCCAATCTCTGGGGCTCTCTGGCTCCGTGCCAGGCTATGCTGTGTGGCTTGCGACGGTGCGGTGCTGATGCTCACTGACCGGCTAGTTTGTGTAGCTTTAATTAGCAAAGTTTGTGCACAGGAGAAAACATGACTGTGGGTCCCAGCAAGTCAGGAAGTGGACGGTTCGTTCCTGATGAAGTGCTAGTTCTGAATAGTGATTCAGCTGTCCACAGTTCAGACCTGTTCACGAGGCCTGCTGCTGGTGCTAACCTCGGGTGGATCCTCTGGTTACTCTCTGGCAACCTCCGCTCTAGACTCTTAGAACAAAGGAAAGTTCTGGCACTCGGACACACTGGCCATTCCGTGGTTGTCCGGGCTGAGTCTCAGGATGGTCAGGAGGCGTGCTGCGAGAATGTCCTGCCCTTGGGAGCCTTTCTGCTCCTGGGCCATCCTGCCCTGGAATTCTCCTTTGAGATTCTCCCGTTCAGAAAAGTCCACAGAATAGTCTCCTTCTACAGGCTCTCTGTTGCCTGTTTTTACCTGGAGAAAATTCAGCTTGTTCATTGGCTGAAAGTTTCATGGGCATCAGAATTCCACGTGGGTTACTCGGCCCTACCAGTCCCTGGTTGGTTGATCAAGGTGAGATATGAGTCACTTACTCCTGACATTTAGGAATGCAGTCCAGATGTCCATCTGGCACTCCGTAGACAGATAGGCACCAATGGATGACCATTGATCATGATAGCCAGGCTTAGCTAAGTGCATCCCCATTTGGGAGCTGTCCCTTATCGAAAGAAAACATCTTT